AATGAAGGATTGGGATTTGCCAGCAGGAGCAGGGAAGGGGGAAGGGGAGGGGAAGGGAGGATTTTCCATCCGTGGCTTAAAATGAAAAAAACATGGCAGTGACCAAAGCAAAACTTCCCCACGAGGTCGGGGCTGGTTGCTTCAAGGAGGGGACTGCTGTGTCCCTCAACCTTGTCCCCTGTCCCTGTCCCTGTCCTCAGGCCTGTCCCCATCCTCCCAACAGGTCTCCCTGACTTGGTGCCAGACCCCAACTACGTGCAGGCGTCCACCTACGTGCAGAGAGCTCACCTGTACTCGCTGCGCTGCGCCGCCGAGGAGAAGTGCCTGGCCAGGTAGGGGGGACACAGCAGGGTTCTGGGGTCAGGGGGACACACGGGGGGCAGAGTGGGGTCCTGAGGCCAGGGGGGCAGGGGGACAGAGCAAGGTCCTGAGGCCAGGGAGGCAGGGGGACAGAGCAAGGTCCTGAGGCCAGGAGGGCAGGGGGACAGAGCGAGGTCCTCAGGCCAAGGCGACATAGGTGAGACCTGAGGGCAGAGTGGGATCCTGGGGCCAAGGAGACACAGGGGGGACAGAGCAAGGTCCTGGGGCCAGGAGGACACAGGGGACAGAAGGGGACAGAGAGATGTCCTGAGACCAGGGGGCAGAGCAGGGTCCTGGGGCCAAGGAGACACAGGTGGGACCCAGGGACAGAGCAGGGTCATAAGGCCAGGGGACAGAATGGGGTTCTAGAGCCAGGGGGACAGAGGGGACAGAGAGATGTCCTGAGGCCAGGGGGACAGAGCAGGGTCCTGGGTTCAAGGGGACAGAGGGGCACAGAGCAGGGTCCTGGGGACAGAGAGATGTCCTGAGGCCAGGGGGACAGAGCAGGGTCCTGTGGCCAGGAGGACACGGGGGACAGAGGGATGTCCTGAGGCCAGGGGGACAGAGCCGGGTCAAGGGGACAGAGGGGATAGAGAGATGTCCTGAGGCCAGGGGGACAGAGTAGGGTCCCGGGGCCAGGGGGAGATGAAGAGTGAGGAGGTGGCAGGGTAACGGGGGATGTGCTGGTCTGGGAGGAGGGTGGAGGCGAGAAGAGCAGGGGAAAGGAAAGGGAAGGATGGGGAAGAAATAAAAGGGGAGGAGGAGAAGGTTGGAGGAGAGAGAGAGGGGGAAAGGGAAGAGGAAGAGCCCAAGGGGGACACTGTCCCTGCCCTCCCTGCTGTCCTCAGCACTGCCTACACCGCCGAGGCCACCGACTACGACGTGCGGGTGCTGCTGCGCTTCCCGCAGCGGGTGAAGAACCAGGGCACTGCAGATTTCCTGCCCAGCAGGCCCCGCCACAGCTGGGAGTGGCACAGCTGTCACCAGTGAGTGTCCCACTGCCCTCCCCCAACCCTCCTTTTTTCCCCTCCTTTTTTCCCTCCTTTTCCCTCCTTTTTTTCCCCCTCCTTTGTTGCCCCCTCCTTTGTTGCCCTCTCCTTTTCCCAAGGCTCTTATAATGGCATTTTTAAGGCTTTTCTTTAACAGCATTTTCCCCCTTTTTGGTGTTTTCCTTTGGGATATTTGATGTGTGTCTGGGGTCACCTTCCTTCATACCCATGTCCCTAAAGCCACCAAGCTCTGGTGATTCATGTCCCCAAGGAAGAAGCTGATGAGACCTCAGACTTGACGGGGAGCCCTAAAATCCCATGCAGGGTGGGCGGATGGTGCCATTTTGGGGTTGGGAGAAGGGGGTGTCACCCTGCCTGTGTTCCCCATCCTATCTCCAGGCACTACCACAGCATGGATGAGTTCAGCCACTACGACCTGCTGGATGCCACCACGGGGAGGAAGGTGGCAGAAGGCCACAAGGCCAGCTTCTGCCTGGAGGACACCACCTGTGATTTCGGCAACCTGAAACGCTACGCCTGCACCTCCCACACCCAGGTACCCTTGGGCAGGGGGTTGCATGCTCAAGAGGATCCTTGGGGCTCCCCACACCCCTTCCCAACAAATCCAGACCCCACCCCAAAATCCTCTTTTCCTCCTGGCAGGGCTTGAGCCCAGGCTGCTATGACACCTACAACGCTGACATCGACTGCCAGTGGATCGATATCACCGATGTCCAGCCAGGGAACTACGTCCTAAAGGTGCCAGGGGAGATTTATAAGGGACAGTTTGAGGGTGGTTTGGGATCTTCTCAACCAGCAGCTTCAGGACCACACTCCTTTTCAGTGTTTTCAGTGCTTAAAAGCAGGTTGTGGTCAAGGGATTTGGGTTATGGTTGGACTTGAGGGATGATTTGATGATACTGTGATTCTTTTTTGGTGCCATCCCTTTCACACAGCTGCTGCCCATCCTCCCTCTTCCTAATTTTTAAGGGTGGGGTTTTTTTTTCCCCCCATTTTTTTGGTGTTTAGGTTCAAGTGAACCCCAAATACATTGTCCTGGAGTCAGACTTCACCAACAACGTGGTGAGGTGCAACATCCATTACACCGGGCGCTACGTCTCCACCACAAACTGCAAGATTTCCCAGTGAGTCTGTCTGTCTGTCCTTCCCTTGGCAAAAAAAAACAACACCCCAACACAGAGATGGGGGGTTTAGTTCCTTTTCTCTTTATCTGGGTTTTCACCATCAGCATCCAAAAAACCAGCAGGATTTGGCCAGAGGTGGGGCTGGGAGTGGGTGTTTCACTCCCTTTGAGGTCTTATTGAGTTGCCTTGTTAGTTCAGGGAAGAACAAGTTGTGTGAGGGTGGGGAGACACTTGGGACAGGTTGTCCAGTGGCTGCCCCATCCCTGGCAGTGTTGAAGGGCAGGTTGGATGGGGCTTGGAGCAACCTGGGCTGGTGGGAGGTGTCCCTGCCTATGCAGGGGGGTTGGATCTGGGTGATCTTGAAGGTCCTTTCCAACCCAAACAAGTCTGAGTTTCCAAAGCAAACCCCCCTTCTGCCTTGATTTCCAATGTCTTCCTGGGATTTTTTTTGGTTCCTTATCTTTCAGATCCTGATGGAAGCAGGGCCAGAGGAACATCACCTGCCCCAGCCTCTGCCCCCCTCCTCAGAAAGCACCTGAGCTGGCTCCTCTATCCCAACAGAAACCCCCCAAAAAAGTCCCCATTCATTCATGTGAAAAGAAGGGGAATGGAGAAAGACTCCTCAAAATAGTGGTTTATACTTCACTTTTTTTTAACCTTTGATATTTTTCCATTTCCTAAGGGAAACTGATGCTGGTTTACCTGGAATAAAGGCAGGGGCCCCATAAGTGCTGTAGAAATGATGTAAATCCCCTGTTAGTTATAGAGAGCTCTGCAATCCTTAACCCCTTGGGCACTCTAGGTTTTGGGGGGAAACAGCCTGAATTTGGAGGTGCTGCCTGGGCAGGGATGCTCGACCCCTCTTCTGGAGGCAGCTGCCATGCCAGGATGTTCCCATTATTTTGGGGGAGCAAAAGTGCTGGGAATCCTGTCACCTTCATGGGAGTGTTGTTCCTTCTGTTTGGCTTTGAAGAACAGGGAGGGAGCCCTTGAGATGACTGGAAATCTTGTTTTATTATTATTAATAATATTATTTTCACGAGCTTTACAACCAGAAATCATTAAAACACGTTGCTTTTGAGGGGTTGGTGTTTCACTGGGGCATTGAGGGCACCACGGTGGGGTGCTGAGGTCACCACAGGGCTGGAGCTGGGACATCCCAGAGCTGGGACATCCAGGAGCTGGAATGGGAAGGGCAGGGCTGGAGCTGGGACATCCAGGAGCTGGAATGAGGAGGGCAGGGCTGGAGCTGGGACATTCAGGAGCTGGGACATCCAGGAGCTGGAATGAGGAGGGCAGGGCTGGAGCTGGGACATCCAGGAGCTGGAATGGGAAGGGCAGGGCTGGAGCTGGGACATTCAGGAGCTGGGACATCCAGGAGCTGGAATGAGGAGGGCAGGGCTGGAGCTGGGACATCCAGGAGCTGGAATGAGGAGGGCAGGGCTGGAGCTGGGACATCCAGGAGCTGGAATGAGGAGGGCAGGGCTGGAGCTGGGACATCCAGGAGCTGGAATGAGGAGGGCAGGGCTGGAGCTGGGACATCCAGGAGCTGGAATGGGAAGGGCAGAGCTGGAGCTGGGACATCCAGGAGCTGAAATGAGTGGAGGGCTGGAGTTGGGACATCCAGGAGCTGGAATGAGGAGTGCAGGGCTGGAGCTGGGACATCCCAGAGCTGGGACATCCTGGAGCTGGGACACCAGGACCTGGAACACCAGGAGCTGGGACATTCAGGAGCTGGAAAGAGGAGTGTGGGGCAGGAGCTGGGACACCTCAGAGCTGGGACATCCAGGAGCTGGGACACCAGGACCTGGGACATGAGGAGCTGGGACATGAGGAGCTGGGACACCAGGAGCTGGAACATCAGGCACTGGGACACCAGGAGCTGGAACATCAGGAGCTGGGACACCAGGCACTGGGACACCAGGAGCTGGGACATCCAGGAGCTGGGACACCAGGTGCTGGGACATCCAGGAACTGGGACACCAGGAACTGGGACACCAGGAGCTCGGACATCCAGGAGCAGGGACACCAGGTGCTGGGACACCAGGTGCTGGGACATCCAGGAGCTGGGGCATCCAGGAGCTGGGACATCCAGGAGCTGGGACACCAGGAGCTGGGACATCCAGGAGCAGGGACACCAGGCGCTGGGACACCAGGAACTGGGACACCAGGAGCTGGGGCATCCAGGAGCAGGGACATCCAGGAGCTGGGACACCAGGAGCTGGGACA